CTGTCTCACTGGACTTCCAGATACCTTCCTGGAAGAATAGCCCTTTGGGTGTCAGGTGGTTATCACCTTCCTACACACACACACATGTGCCACTCACACCTGTACACATGCATGCATAAATATGTACATTTGCATACATGCACACATTCAACACATTTGCATTCACACACACATCATACATATACAGAGACTCACCTATACTTACACACATATGCACATGCATGGGCACACACAGACAGGCACATACTTGTACATGTGCATACATTTCCACACATGGACCCACCACAGTTTGGCCTCCTCGCCCACTGTTGCTCCCCTGGGTAAAGCCCATGTCTGTCTTCTATCCCAGAGTCTCTCAGAAAGCAGTGGAGTGCTGATCCTTGGTTCCTAGCTCCTTGCCAGACTCTTCTCTGCAAAGACCACAGGACTTGTCTTTAAGCTCATCTTTCCATTTAATCTTTAATTATAAGAATGATCCTCTTCAACAGCATCAAGACATTATGATAAGAGGGGATAATCTCCAGTGATGTGGGTCAGGGCAGACTCATGTGTAGAATATATCCTCTGAACCACTGCATGACTACCTTCTGAGGGTGTGAGAGGCCTCTGCCTCACAGGCAGAACTCAGCTGATCCATGAGTAAAATTATTGGTCGGCTCTCATCACTCAGGAATGGAGCTGGGGAAAGTGAAATTTCCTACCCAGGATGTGTGGGATTTGAGTTCTGAGCAAAAACAAAGTGTCAAGTTTATCAAATGTCAAAGCAAAGCCTGGCCTGGAGGACGTTCTTTAGGATGTTTCACTGCAGTGGAGAATGTCTTCATCCAACTTAATCAAGACATGCTTGGTTGGTTCATCAAAATGATACCATCATATACAATATTGTATTTCAACTTTAAAAAGTTGATATACATTTATGTGCTTAGTCTTTGATCTGTGGCTAAGACCAGGCCAGTTCTTAGGGATCTGGACACTGTCATGGACAAATCACACTCAGAACAACATCTACTATTTCCAGCCCAAACTTCTTTACAATGAATCAAGAATTTACGGACACTTGAGGGACAATCTGAGTGGAGAATCTATCACAAATTTTGTGTCCCCCTTGAAGTTATCAGTCCACCTGTCTTGCCAGCAATTCACAGATACAACTTTTTTGTTTTTTTAAACACATGAATGCCATCCATTCATGTGTCAACAGGGTACATAGTTATAATGACACGTTCAGCAGACATGAAATGGTTTTGGGGAAAAGGGGTTCTATTGGTAGGATCAGAAGACCAGGGCTGTCATTTTCTAGCAGTTAGAGAAAGCATGGGTCAGTCCATCTCTCTAGCTTCATGGAAGGCAGATGTGAATTTCTCCTATATTATCGGTGTGATGGTATTTGCAGTTTAACCAGATTCTGAGCTCCATGTCTTAATCCTCACAGCCAGCCTTGGCAGAAAGTCCCCAAAGTCCCCTTCCTGTAATAGCCATGATAGTCCTAGTTGTGATGTTTTGACTTACGTGGGCCTATCAGCCAGGAAAGCCCTTCTCACTTGTAAGCTCAAGAAACTCATCTTCACTCTTCCTGGCTGATGAGTCACCATTCCCTCAATCTCACAGTGATGAGGACATAATTGCTAAACTATGAGTGAGGACTTTCAAACTTAAAAGGAAAAGAAGCATTACAAAACAAACAAACAAATCCAAATCAAACATCCAAAATATACCCCAAAAGTAAAAAAAAGTTCACATAGAAGTTGGCCCTGGCTTGTGCTATCTTAAAAGAAAGATGACAAACAATATGATTCTTTCACTGATTAGGGGCAGTGAGGCCAAGGGATATACTTAGTCATTTTATTATCTTGAATATTTTATAATTATAGCTATAATTAAGTATTACACATAATATTGATGGTCTGTGAGTGTACTAAAAGGTTGTGTAGAGGGTACCCTGTGGGTGTCACAAGTTTGAGAAAACACTGCAGTGAGCGATAGGACAGTGGGGACTGTGTCCCAGCAACAGGCAGAGTTGGCCTCCAGTTTGTGATACTCCCTAAAAGCATCATCAAAATGGGCGTGTCTTTTCATCTCTTTTAGAATTTTACTACATTCCCAAATGGGACAACTGCAATGCTTATTATGAAGGGTTGTAATAAAAAGGAAATTGTGATTTATTCACTGCAAACATCTATTTTAAACAGCATGAAAAGTGACTCTACACATAGACCTCACCAGATGGTAGAGACAAAAATCAAATTGACTTCGTCTGTGGAAAAAGACTGTAGTAAAGTTCAATTTCACCAACCCAAACAAGGTAAGGACAGACTGTGGAGCAGACCATCAACTGCTCATGTGCAAATTCAGAATGAAGCTGAAGAAAATGAAAACAAGTCCATAAGAGCCAAAATGTGACCTTGAACATATCCCACCCAAATTTAGAGATCATCTCAAGAGCAGATTTGGTGCATTAGATACTAATGACTGAAGACCAGAAAAGTTATAGGATGAAATAAAAAACATTTTACAGGAAGAAAGCAAAAGATCATTAAAAAGACAAGAAAGAAGAAGAACAAAACAAAATGAATGTCAATATAGATGCTAAAGCACATGGAGGAAATGACATAAAAAAGTTGAACAAAAACTTTAGCCCCTAAAGGTTTTTCAAAAGGAAGTATACAGGCAGGAAATGTCCGATTAATGGGCAGCTCCTACTTACTCCTTAATGTTATGTGATTACGCCCTTGTTATTGTTGTTAAGTGTCCTCCAGTTGATTCTGACTCATAGCGACCCTGTGTAGGGTTTTCTGAATCCTTAAATCTTTGCAGGTGTAAAAAGCTTCATCTTTTTCACTCGGAACTGTTGGTGCGCTGGAATGCCAACCTTGTGGTTCAAAGTCCAGTGCTTAGCTTATGGAGTGATCGCACAGAAACAATCCCTTGTTGTTGTTGTTGTTGTTAAGTGCCATTGAGTCAGTTCCAACCCATAGTGACCCTGTATAGGGTTTCTGAGGAGTGGCTGGTGAGCTTGAACTGCTGACCTTGTGGTTCAAACCAACTTTGCAGTCCAGCGCCACACCAGGACTTCTACTCCAACAAATTCTTCATCAAAATCACCTTCACTTGCAGCATGTATGGCTTTTAAATCGATGAGCAACTGTGCCTTTTCTGGCACTAAAGTAAAGCATAAGGCTAAGTAAGAACTGTATGTATCTGTTCCAACTTACCTACCAATTCTTACGGACACA